AAAGGACAACAGGCTTTGCCAGGCCTATACAGAAATTTGGGAAACAAAGTTAACATGCAACAAATTTCTCTGGCATCATGAACGGGATTACTTTTCAATTTAGGTCTTCTCTACTGTTCTAAGAATTATTTTTTCAAGATTATAACTTTCCAAGGTTAAAGTTTATAGAAAAGTTATATTAAAAATGAGAACTAAAGAAAAGTCTGTAAGGAGCAACTGAGAAACATTACTTCTGCTTAGTATTAGTTGTTTAAAAATGACCCCTGTTTCACTTGTGTTATGCCTTTCTTTGGATCAGACTTAGCAACAATAACGAATTTCAGTGCTACAATAAGGCAAATTTACCCACACTTTAATTACACAAAACCATTATAATTAAATGCATTTCAAATGGTATCTAAACAATGAAATAAATTCCTCTGTATAGTAACATTAAATAAATAGGCAATATTCTTCTCTCTTCTTAGGACCAGACAACAATGAACCAATTGTTCTTTACTGCTTTCCAAGAGGGCTTCTCATTGTACAGAGAGGCTTAACATCTGGATCAATGCTTGCATGTTTTTTAATGAAGTCCTTTAGCTCTTAGAAATTACTGAAAAAGCATCTCCTGTGGAAAACAAAGATTAGTTTAGCTGGATGTCGTGCTGAGCAACGGATGTTTTTCTTGGCTGGCTCGCCACAAAACTGCTTCCATTCTCTGTATCAAGTAAGGATCTCCAGGCTTTAGTCCAGTAAACAAAGATTATTTTCTTGTAATTCAGTACACAGTGTAGCTTCTTGGTTTTCTTTAATTGGGCCAAATTCTGGCTGTTATTGTTGCTTCTTTGTGTTGCACTATTTCAATAAGGAGACTCAAAGGGACTCCTGAAGAATTCTATACATATGACACAGCCCTAACTAAGGAATCCTACATCTCTTTCCTGTAAATCCCTATGCATTAAGATTTGCCAGGATAAGGATTAAGCTGTGTGAAAGGGCTGCCGGCAAAGCACTGAAAGTATGTGCAGAAGTGCAAAGAACAGCAGTGAGAGACTGCCCAAAGGTACTAGCCTTCAGTATTTTTCCAAAATTACTGCTAGGTATGCATTCAGCCCAGATTTAAAAGGAAGAAAACAGTTTAAAATGTTTGCAACGTTTTCATGTGTTTTTTACCCTGTTCCTCTTAGGCTGCCCTCCTGGTTGAGGGTACTCTGTGAAGAGCATTGGTGCTTGCCCTCTGAGGGAAAGGCTGGGCTCAGGCCCCTGGCACATAGCCCCAGGAGTGTCATGTGCGGGAGGGTCCCCACAGCCTCTGCTGGCAGAATCAGCTGCCTTGTGTTTGCTCTTACTCAAAAAAATGTACCATACAGGGCTTCGAATAACCCTGTCGTAGCAGTCACGCATACACCTGGAAGAGCAATATTTTGCTCCTCAGTGTAAGGCACACGAGCAGCCCAATGGGACTGTGAGCCAATCCTTTCCTTGGATCCCAGTTTTTATTCCTAAATCACTTAAGCAGTTTTCTTAAACTCTTTGGCAAGTCATTTCAGTTCTCTGTGCCTTCATCTATCCAGTGGCTTTACCACGGGGGCCTCTATCTATACGAAGGCTTTCTGTAATATTGCTAGCTGGCTCCAGGAGTGGTCAGGCTTGATAAATCTCAGTTGGTGAATAACTTTGATTTTTAGTTAAAGGGATAAACGACATGAGAAAAGCAATCATGGCAAAGTATTGTTCTGGAAAAGTGAATCAATGCACACTTAAAAATGTCCCATTCTGGGACCTGTGTTTAATGGGATGACCAGAGTATGCTGCAAGAGCTACGCAATGAAATCCTTGCTTTCCTTCTGAATATGAGGAAGAGTTCTACATCTGAATGATTATTTTTTTAATACTCTCTTTTTAAATTAAAACACACAAGGAGAGATACACTGAAAAAGGGACTTTGGCTAAAGGCTTTCAAGCAGCTATACTCTCACTGATGAACAGCATGGCTCTGTGCTTTCCAGCGGAGAAACTGGAGAAGTGAAATTACATCTGACAGGTTCATTTCTACATTACCACAATTTTTGGCTAAGGGCAAAATTGATTAAAAAGAGAAAAGACTTAGGATGTTAGGAGTCGTAGCTGTGTTTCTATGCTGGAGTCCTTGCATTAATCTAGACTTGGTGGCACTGGTTACAGCAAAAGACAATTCTGTACCAATTTCAATCTGTGTTTGTAAATAAAAGCACTGATGTAATAGAATTTTTTTTAATGCATGGGGTTTATGAATTCGTATGTCGAGACAAGTGCAGCTGGGAAATGATGGAAGAAACACATTTAGTAAGAAGCACCTCAGAACAGTATGCTTAAGGTAAAGCGTTGGAATAAATACAGGCACTACAGAGAAAAATTACTGTGCTAGTGAAATATTAAAGTGTGATTATTATCTATAGAACCATAAACACTTTTTACAGGTCAGTGTACATATAGAGAGACAGATGTGCATACAAGGATATAAGCATCCACCTTGTACAAATGAGCAACTTTAGAAGTGTTGTGGAAAAATACTGCAAGCGATAAAGGACAGATTCTGCTTTACTTCTTGTGTCAATCCTGTTAGTCTGGTTTTGTTCAGTTCTTTCCATAAATAGTACTGAGGTTATGACATGGCTCTGTTTTTTGTTAATTAGCTGAATTGACAAAGGAAGGATATTGATCAATTAAGACACTGGTTAGAACTTGCAGTGTGAATACAGTTTCTATTACTTTTAGTATAATATTAAAAGGCAGGGGATTCTGTCTTTTCCTGTTTGGGGCATAAATGAACTCAATACAAACCTCTTCACGCACAGAATTCTAATAACAAGTTAAAAGATTCTGTAAAAAGATAAATTATTAAAATTTGGAAAAAGGATGAAGCCGCAGAAACAACAAGATGAAGGATTCACCAGAACTAATAATCCAAATGTTTTTGCATCTCTCAACCTGAGGCCAGTCAACCTTTCAAATTACCTTTTTGTGATTTTTTTGAAGTTGAGGTCCTATAACAAGTACCTAAATGAAACATTTTAATATTTCATGGATTGCACATCTTTTCATCTGTTCTTTATTTCATTTTTATGAAAATTACCCTTCAAATTAGTTTTCTTTATCCCAGGAAGACCCATATCTTAGGCATTATAATTTTTTAATTATCTTGATTTGTGTACAGCTATAACTAGAGAAAATTCCAGCTTAAATTTCCAAAATAACTAGTGTAACATACATGGCATCTAAATGATGTTCCACTTCCCTCTCAGAAGAGCATTTTGGATGGTCTTTTGAAATGTTTTCACTGACTGACATGAAGATGATTATTTCGGTTTTGCATTGCTTTCCTCAAATTTGCTTAATTCTGTAGTAATTCTGGTTTCAAACAGTTGAGATATTAATTGCCATGAGTGTCCCTGCCTCCAGCCTTTCCTAGCATCTTCCTTAAGAGGTGGTGTTCTGCCTGGGGAAACTGTAAGTGAGAAACAAGGTGCACGGCAGTGACGTGTGGTGGGAAGTGGTGGAGATTAAAATTCCTTTACTAAACATATTTAACTAGTTCTAATTGCTGAAAGTTTTATCCCTACAAAGTTTTGACACCCAGTGATGTGTTTGGGCTTGGAGGGCCAGCACAAGGCACTCCAGACCTGGCAGTATTTTCTTACTGTTTGTGTTAACTCCAACTGCTTTTTAATGTTAGGGGTTGGGAAAGGAGATAAAGCTTCTCTGATGTTATACTCTCATGACTCTTATTCTCAGGGAACTGGAGGATACCCGTGATAGCTGAGATACTCTGATAGAGTGAGAAACCAGGCAAACCTCCAAACTTCAAGCAGGTGCTTGTTTGGCAAGGAGTTTGTGATAATCTAAATTATAACAGCTGAAAAAGAAAGCACTAATCAAACAGGTTAGTCGGGTGACAGTATCAAGACTCTGATGCTGTACTTCTGTCTCCAATGGCTTCATTTTTCATGTTCTTTCATCTCCAAGGTCAAGACAGCCACTGTCAAGATGTCTTTGATGAGAAAAGCCAGGAGCAAAATGTGGGTCTTCACTCTTCCCCAATCTATGCTGTCATGGTTCTTATATACCCTTTTCTGTCAGAGAAAACCAATCTGGTCTGAGGGCTTAAACCCTCTTTTCTCACAGGTCAGGACCAGTCTGCTCCAGCTCATCTAGACAGGTATTACCTCTTACACAGGTCTCCTCTGGCGTGTTCAGGCAAGCATGACCTGCTGGGTGCTGGTCATCTGATGCCTTCTAATAGCTGCAGTCTGGAACAGCCAGCAGAATTAAATACCTACATTTTTTAAATGCAACTGTGCTAAACAAGTACATGTAACAAAGCATTTCACTTTCTATCTTGAATTGAGCAGGTTGGTGGTTATGCCTGCGGGGCAAGGCAAGCAGGCTGCACTTCACAGGGAGCTACAGTGGTCATCCAGCCACTCTCCTGCCTGGGACTTTAAAGAGGTCTCCTGATTAAGTCTATCAAATAGAAAAGATTGTATGCAAAGAGTTTTAAAATTCAATTACCCAGAGGGATGAAATCTGAAGCAAGCGTGAACCCTCGTACAGACCTGAGGACATCTAAGGTAAGGGGTAGGGGTCTGGTCCCCAAAGGATGGAAAGCAAAAGCACGAGACAGCTGAAGGTGGGCACCCGAGGGATGCAGGCTGAGACGCGTGCTCACTAACAGCACCCACTGTAGCTGTTTTCAGCAGCTTTTGTCATGCTTTGTACTGTAGCTTTTGTCCAAACATTTTTGGGCAACGGTTTGTTTTGGGGCAAGGGTTTTTATACCTCCTCTAGCATAATGTGGTATGTGTTTTATTAGTCATATCTCTAGTTGATTTAGACAATACTTTCCCCTGACTGCTCTTGCTTCTGCTGGTTCACTTAGATGCTTCATCTCCCACACAGTGGCTCTAAATTATTTGAATTTTTTGAGTCTGCCCTAGAAACCTTGCTAAATCAGAATCTTTCAGATCAGGCATTCAGTTCCACCCAGAAGCTGGAAATACTTGACAACTTTCAGTGGTTTTTTTTTTCCCCTTCTATCAGCAACTCAGAAATACAGAACCCCGTGAAAATGAATGAAAAGCCCTGCTTATGTAAAGCTGGTAGAGCTTTGCTGCACATTCAGATCGTATTTGAACCAAAGATTAACATGAAGATGAGGTTTTATTATTCTTCATCCCTCCTGCTCTTCCTTGTTTCCCCGTAATGGATTTTGATTTATTTGATGATGGGATCAGACTTCTCTTTATCATCAGGAACATGTTTTCCACTAAGGAATGGGAGGGGATGGTAAGATTTGCATTATGTTTAATTGTGATTTTCTTTCCAGTGCAACTGAGATTTGAGAATTCCTGATAAGGAGAAACTTCTGTGGTTTTTTTCCTAGATCAAGGCCTATAAACAATGAGAATATATAAATATGTATATATTTACAGATATAAGAATTTTTTAAGACATTATGTTAGTAGCTGTATCAAAAGTAGTTCAAGGTATAGCAAATTATTTTCTCTGTAAGAATATAAATACATTAGGCGAAATTTTCCTAGCTGAGAAAGTTTCTATTGTGGTTTTTTTTGTCACTGTGTCATTCTTGTCAGAGAAAAAACTGCCAAGAATCTTAATGTTCCCAGAATTCATTAGTAGTCAGTAATGAATCTATGATTCTACAAAATGCCTGCTGAACAACCATAATCACTGTATACATTTGTCTATTTTAATAGTCTTTCTATAGCTATCCTTGGTCAAATATGTATTCATCACACACCTGTCTTTACTTGCTGACAAACTAAGCTAATAATATATGTATCAGTCTGTGCTGAAGTTTAGATGTCTGCAAATTTGTGCATGTGTTTCCTATTAAAAAGGGAAAAACACTTAAGCTTACAATAGGTGTCTCTCTATTTAGCTTACTTATTTTTATTTTGCACATATATCATTATTATTTAGAAGCTTTTATCAATGTTACCATAGAAATGGAGAATGCTAATTCTCATTTTCTATCCTGCTTGCTTAGTTGCTCCGATGCAAACACTGTTTGCGGTCTGTCGGAGCAGCTACATTATTTGGCCAGGGTTTTTTTGGGTGCAGTATCCTTGCATTTGAGTCCTACACTTCACATATTTTTTTGGAAATTACTCCTGTGAAAACATGCTGAATTTTAAAGGCAAAAGCTTCAATGAATTTTCGGAGTGGGAAAAAACCCAAATCCATAAACTAGAAGAAAAGGAAAGACAGAGGCCTAAACTTACCTTCACACAGTGATTAGTTCTTTTCTTTTTAAAAGCCTTTTTGTACTAATTCATATGCTGTGTTTCTTCAAACTGGTACATATATGTTTTAATAGAACTCAGTGACCGTTAGGCATAAAGCATGTGCTGAGACACTTTTTAATGTTTCTCCTGAGAGCTCAGACTGTCAGTAGAACTCAAAGGTGCTGCAGCTGTAGCAGCTACAGCCCTCTAGAACCTAGCTGAGTCATCTTACCATAACACTACAATTTATTTCATTTTGAAATACTAATTAAATCAGGAGGGGAGGGAGATTCTAGAACCATCTAATAACTACATTTGCAATGCAGCGATTAGTTAGAAAATTAACTCTCCTAAAATAACATCTCAGTATTCCATAATTAATATAGTTAGAGGACTCCAGTATGAATCTTAAGAGTTTGGAAAAAAATAATTTAAAAATATTCCCCTATTGTAACAATTGAAAAAATTAACATGTTCTTTCTGCTTTATTCAGCAGCAGCTACTCCAAATTGCAAATGTCCTAGAATCAGAACTTACCAGCCAATTCTGTCAACGTAGCAGAAGGTGGAAAAGAGTACAATTTAGTCTTCCATAGAAATATTGACTCTGTTGTGCTCACAACACTGCTCATGCTTTATGGTACTGTATAATCGGAAAGAGACAGACAAATCAAAGATGTACAGCAGAAAAAGGTATGTATTTTTTTATATAGCTACCCTCTTGATTATTCTCCCCCCAACACATACATTATAGCCAGGAATAAAAAGAGAGAAGGGGAAGAAAGGAAGAAATCGTTACTTAAGTGCAGGATTCTAAATCTTTCTGGTATTGTGACTAAGAGGATTGAATGTACGTAGCACTTGGTGATCCCTCGAGTCTGTGTTTACAGATTTGTTTGCCTATTTTATATCATTTGCATATTTCCTTAAAGACCGTTGAATTCAGAAGTGATACTCTAGTCTTTTGGCATTGGATAGTCCTTTTGCTTCCTTGTATGGTCCATGCTGTAAACAGCAGCAGCACCTGAGTGTTTAGGTAGTAAATAACTTCTTCAGCTCTTACAATGAACTTCACAACTGACAAGTTTCTCCAAGAGATAACTAAATCCTGCCTTTTCACATAAACAGAATGCAAAATTCAATTTGTAACAGCACCATCTGGAGACACAGAAATGTTACAGCCTCTAAATCTGCACCCACACATTTAAGCATTCAACTGGTGTATTTCATTATCCAACTATGGATCTGGAGTGGTTCTCTATGGCTGTGTCCAGGTATTTGCACAGAGATGGCATACGCAAAACTATCCCTAATGTCTTTAATCACTTCTACTTCAGAACCCCATATGCACCTCTCATTGTATTAACCTTTTTAAAAAACTATCCACCCTACAAAAAATTATTGCAGTGACCATTAATCTTTAGACAGTAAGATTTGGACTTTTCACATACTTCTAGTTTGTCAAATCATTTTTGCATTGCAACCTGTGGGTTTCTGTCTGTCTCTGTCTCTACGCAAGCAAACTAGCAATGACTGCTTCAATCAGCCCTGGTACGAGTGCTGCTGACCCTTCTCCTGCTGCAAGCAGGAAGATCTTGCATAAGTACAGAGTGCCTGAGCCAGCAATCTGCACGGTAACCAACCTTCAGCTCCAGTGAACAGGTACTGCTTTTATACTCGAGATTTTTCAACTGTGGTTTCTCTCTCCACTTGAAATTATTTTGATCAAGAATGCCTGTTTAAAAAAAAACACAAACATTCCCACTATTCAGCACATGTATTATTATTAAATCTATTAAATCTTCATCTCTATTCATGTTGTCTTTTCATTATGTCCTCCTTTAAATTAGAAAATGGACAACTCAACCCAAAGCTTCCAATTAAAGCAAAATTTTCGATGCTTGTAAAACTGCAGTAAGATTATTTTAATGTATAATACTAATATTTTTCATGTCCTAGCTATGTTTGCACCATTCAAAAAAATGTTTAGAAAAATGAGTATCAGCGCATATCAGTTATCAAAGATTTATGATGTTTCCCATAGATTTGAGTGTCTTTATAGCGTTGCTTGTAAAATTCTCACTCACCTGAACAACGTGTGCTGTAGTAACAGCACTGTTTAGTAAGAGCACGTTTGCACACTGTGCAGCATTAAGCAGAAATCTGCTTTCCCCTGGCATGTTCTGTAACACCTGTGAAAGATAACAGCAGAAAGGTGGAAGATTTAGCACTCTTTGCCATGTTTGTCCGTGCGATGATAGCTGGTGTCCGGTGCTTGTCTTTGAACTCTCTTTCTAAGAAGAATGGGGTGGGCTAAAGATCTCTGTGTCACTGACTCTTCTTGATTAATCTCACTTCACTGTGCCCGGTCTATATGTCAATGCCAGATAGCTGTTTCCTGCTGAAGGCAGCCCCATCCTCAGGTTTTTCACTCCTGTGCCATTGGTAGCAAGTAACCCTGGCTCTCCTCCCTCCCTCAGTGTATGTTTATTGTTGCTTTTTCTCTCCTGCCTATCTGCAGAACAGCATATTCTCTTACTTAACTGACCTCCCACCAGACTCTGAGAAGCACAAGTCTGACTGGTCCCTGCAGCTCTGTTCTTGCAGAATAAAATATGAAATGGGTTCTGCTGGGAAAACCTACCCGTGCTCCTGCAGGACGCGTAGGAAGGCAAGCTGGGGGCTCTATAAAGGGATGATAAATTTTGGTACACCTAGGGAGGGGGAAAGTGTTAATTGCTTTCTCTGCAGAAATGGACCATGTGGATCAGGAGACCTTCAAGTTTTATTTTTTTTTCCACACTAATGCCAATTTTTAATCTCTATCTTTAGTGCTGTCTATGAAGTATTACCCTCTTTCAAGAGTGTGCATTTACTGGAATAATCACACTTTCTCTTCCCCTCTGTCAGCTATTAATAGTGATAAATTTTAATTGCATATGTAAATAAAAACACTGTGTACTCATTAGTTTAAATATGTTTTTCATTAGGCAAATGAAATGCTTGTTGCATATGATGCAAAGCTAAAAGGAGAATGTTAACAGCACTGAGCAGTTTGGGAAGTATATTGACTTGATTTTTAAAAATTATTAATAGGATAAAAATAAACATTGTTTTAAGGGATTATCATGGGCAGATTTTCCAGTACAGGCATCTTGGTTTTGGAAATGGAAAACTCAAAGTTAAGTGACAGAAACATGGGTATGGTGTCAAGGCTAATGCATTTAAAACTTCTACTAAAAGGGAGATAGCTCATAAACTTGTATTACTATTTATAACACTGGCTATTTTGGAGATGGTGACTGCAAGGTGGGTAGCATTTTTCAGTTTCTATTTAGAAAAATCCTGACATGTCTCACATCTTGATAACTTGAAACATGTTGGTACCAAATTACATCACTTCATCATTAATTTTCAAACTTTTGGAACCCAACACTCCAAATACACTTTTTGCTATTTTTAAGGGCTATGCAATTATAGTCAGGAAGATATAATTTTTCAGTTCAGTAATCCATACTTTCAAGCTTGGAATATATTTATCTACCTACTAGGTAATAATTTTTTTCCTTTCTGCTAACAAAATACCCAGAAATTCATAACCAATTTACTTGTAAACTGTCTTTACCATTTCCATCCACTGTTCTGCTCACTGGGAAATGATAAAAATCTTATCATAGAGACATTTAGTAAATCAGTATAATTTTATACAAAAGCTTGGCCTCTTAACACATCAGTCTTCATGAAAAGATGCTCTGTGGGTGTGACTTTTTAAAGTTGTTATCGCCCAGAACAGATTTACAATCTCTCTTTTGGCATTGGAAAAGATTCCATTGCTTGTGTGGTTATTCACTGAGGTCAGTCACTTGTCATGTTTGGCTATTACGGTATATACCTGCTTTCTAATATGTTTCCTGATTAATATGAGAATATAAAATATCTTTTCCTTCAAAACTTAGAGCTACAAATACACTTTCTTCTCAATTGCTTTAGTAAGAGAGCAAAGAAACAAATAATTTTTATTTTATAAAGATAAGCTTGAATATCCTTGTCTCATCTATGCTTCCGCAGTTCAACTTCTATCAAATTTTTATACTGGAGCACAGTAAAATATTTATATGCAAGATGGAATGAAAAAATGCAAAGCCTGGCTAGAGGGCAGTCTCTTGGAATTAACACAGAGCCTCAGCAGGCAGTCCAAAAAAAAAAAAAAGAAAAAAGTACTATGTCAGTCAGAGATTCTTCATTTGCCAAACTTAATTTTAGGTGGCTGGATCCATTGCCAAGAGAATAAAGGCAAAGAGAGATTCCATTTTGTATGAAGAGCACTTGACGTGGTTGAGAACAGATTTATAGATTTTAAGAACAAAAGGGACTACTATGATATCAAATCAGACTTTCTACATAGAGAAACCAGAGAGTTTCAGCTGTCAGTGTCCTGATCAAGTTCACGAATTCTGGCTGAGCTGGAGCAAAGTTCTGGGGATGATATTCAATCTGGTCTTGGTTGAAAGAGTTCCAGAACCGAAGATTCTGTTTTGTATCTTATTGCAGCAAATGGTTAACTGCTGTCATGTTTAAAAAGTGGTGCTCTGTGTTTGTTTTTTCACTTGTCTGGACCAATCTTCCAGTTGTTGCACCGTGTTTTATCCTGCCAGTGGGTCATCTGAGGAGAATGGAGACTATAGACTTGAGGGAGAAAAGATACAGGATTTGTCAAACAAGACAGTTTACTTTGGGTTCTTCATTTTAAGAGATTAAAGGAGGCTGTGATTTAATACATGATGAGATCCTTTAATACATAATAGGTCATGATCTCACTTATGACCTTGATGCCCTTAAAATTCTGTTTTTCTAGTCTGCTGTATTAAAAACAATAAGCAGTGTAATGTATAAGTAATGTTCCCTGGATGTGCGTGCTTACATATATACATACGTGTTTTGGCAGAGCAATGTGCTGAAACATTAGCTCTGGAACCATGTTCTAATGAATCCATGGACTCATTTTCAAAGAATTTGTGCATACCAGCCCCATATACCAATTGTTTCCAGGCTAAGGTGAAACAGAAACAAGCATGTCCTGACCTTCATTATTGCTCTAGATATTGTCTTTGCTATTCAGAACAGAAGTTCTTGTTCATCTATAATCCAGGCAGCATTTCTCCAAAGTTGTCAGTATTCACAGAAAGTGGGTAGCTTTTAGAAATGATTGCACTGAGCTCCAGACTGACTCCTTTGATTCTCATCCATCATCAGATCCTCTTTAATGATTTCTCATGAGGTTCCCCTCCCTCTTGCCACAGAATTTCTCTAGGCGGGAGAAGATGTACTTCAAAGATGCATTAAATCTTGTACACAGATATCTGCACGTACTGATACAACTCACTGTACCATTGACATCTCCTTCAGGTTCCTCAAGAAGCTTCCGGCAGAGGTGAGACATTTGAGGCTATATAACACTTTAATCCATAGTAAGCTCTCAAATATTTAAATTGCAGATACACTCAGACTGGGTGTGTTTAATGGTAAGATGGTACTTTTATGCAAGTAGATGAGGAAACATGATTTCTGTATATCTCATCTAAAACTAACTTATCACATTTTATCCGCCTTGAAATTTCTTGTCTGAAACTTGGCTCAGTAGAAAATGGTAACATGCCAAGGAGCCCATTAGCAGTATCTCACTCCCCCTTTTTCTTCTCTTTAATTTCTGTGCTTTCATGGGAGCTACTGCCAGTTCTGCTCTTAGTCACAGTGAGAGCATTGATTGACTTCTGGTGTAGATCTGAATTGCTGGTATCTTGAATGCTACTGGGACCTCTGAATTTGGATGAGATATGAACCTCCCCACAGTGGAAAACTCATTCACCAGTGTGCAATAAGGATCTGAATGGCTACTTCTTTGTCCAGTTTGGATTACTTTATGCAAACTGGGAATCTTTCTAAATCAGAATGTTATTGAATGGTCTATTTCGTACAGTGTACAACATCAACAGGAAAGTCATTGTGAAGGACAGTCAGCTTCCCAAATCCAAATTTACAATGAGGCAACCGGAGCGCTTTATATTAGGTAGAGTTAGAAACATAATTGTAAACTGCATTAGACACTAAGGAATACAAATAGGAGGGGTGAGGGAGGTCTGTGATCCATACATTTGCATATTAAGAAAACTACCAGTTATAATAAAAGTAGACACTCAAACTTCAGTACGTTGAGCAGCGGAATTTTACCTTATTTCTCCCAATGGCAACCATAATATCCTTGCAAGGCAATACCAGAAAGGAGTGCCCATAAAGTGGTTCTTAGGTAGGCAATGCAAAATGTAAACTGTACATTAATTTTTAAAATGAATTGCCTTTCAGCAAAACCAGCAGTGACTCTGCTTTGGATTTGGTTTTATCTTTTCCAAGATTCCCAGTTACAATATGAGTGTATCACAAATGTGCTGAGATGGAAAAGGTTTTCACCTCTGTTGTTCCAGGATAAATCAAACAATTTCAGGATAATTTGTCAGCCTCCATTTTCTTTTCAAGCAAGTGATTACCTGTCATGCAACTGTTAGTATAAATTTCAAGTTATGAAGGGTCATTCAGCAATAAATATAGAGAGTTGCGGGAGATAGAACAGGAAAAGAGAGTAAGCTGCTGTCTGCCACCTGTTCCCTTCGTGCAGTCCAAGACAAGCAAATAAAGATATGATGTGATTTAGGATCTGTTTGGTGTTACATAGTTAAAAACAGTATCTTGCCACTATATTTGTTCTACTGGCTTGTATCACTTTTGACTTACTGTTTATCTATATTTCAATACCCCACAGCAGGAGCAGTTGTAGTTCAAGTCCAAATGTACTCAATCAATTCTCTGTGAAGCATTTATTTACCACCTATGGGTAACTAAGGAGCACAGAAATGAGAATAGAGAACTAACTTGAAGTTGGTACCACCCACTGCAGGGGCTAATCTTTAAAAAAAAAACCCCAGAAAGTCCATTATGGATCACTTTTCACTCTACTCCTTGTGCTTCTCCCCTGCTCGTAACAGATAGAGGGGCTTGCCATGCAAATCAGTGTGGAAGACAGGATTCCCCAGAGAGAGGAGCAACATCTTTTTGAGATGAATATCCTTAATGTTTTGGGAGCTACTGTTGCCTTGACGGAAGGCTATCCATATGGACATAAAACATGCCCTCCCAGATGAGTCCAGTTATCTATCTAGCCTAACATATATAGTCACTAGGGATGTGAATATAAATCTATGTGAAAATATGAACAAGAAATTACTAAGCAACTTGTGCAAGATGGGTAGTGATCTGATGTCAGTTTTATGAATTCAATCTCAGGATGATTTGAACCCCATCTGGGATGAGCTCAGCAGATGTATGTAAGCCTTGATTCCAAGCATATGGAAAATGGCATGCAGATCATGATAATGAATTTTTGAAGAAACGCTCTATGCTGTGCCTGACTGGGAGTGCACCGTGGCACTGGTGAGATCTGACAAACCACTTAAGTGCTTTGCTGTGCCCTTGTGTTCAGGCCTTGGCAAGTCCAAGCAGTGCAGTGGCACTGACAGCCTTCCCCAGTGCTGTTGAATGCAGATTCACACAAAATGAGATGCAATGAAATGACTCCCCACAATTGTTACAGGGTTGCAATATGTTGTTTTACAAGCCTCTCATTGCTTGTAGATATTTTCACTTGGGAGGTAAAGGAGCACCCTAAACCACCTATGGATTGTATTTAAAAAAAAAAAAAAGTAATTAGCAAAAGAAAAATATCTTGCCACAGCTGCAGAATACAAGTAAGACAAAAGTTGGTACAAACAGAGTAAGTATCAAATCAAGAAGGACTCACTTGACTCCATCAGTTCTAACTCTGGTCATTAACTCATGAACACAGTGTGATAATCTACTTCAATTGTCAATGCCTTTGCAGATGAAGGTAAGTTATGGAAATATGCATCTATACAGCTCGTGATCTCCATTTCAGTGTATTTAACTGCAAACTCTAATTTAAAGCAATGGATCTTGATTTGCAGAATGTCTGTTCAAATACTGAAATTCATGGTACTTAAAGGCAGATTACAAAGTTAGGATATACAGTTTTAGGTACCAAACCAAATATTTACCATATCAGCCAGGGAACTCTATTTAAAAGACCATCTCTAAGCAAATTAATTGCTGTGAAAACAAACTTCCTCTGCATCATTGCCCTTTTAGTGCCACAATTTCTCACTCACTCAGACTCAGCAAAGCTCTTAAGCACCTGGTAATGCCTATTCCTAGTCATTAATTATTGATATTTGGTGATGCTTTGACTTCTGTGAGACCATTTTTTAATGTTAAAATTGTTCTTAAACACTTGACAACTAAGGTTCTGCTCCAAAGACCTTAGTGGGAAGAGTTGCAGATGTGAGGAATCCTGAACTATGGATATCACACTAAATGATAGCCAGGCATTTTTATTTTAAGAAGTTACAGTTTGCAGCCCAATGCTTCCAAAGAATGCCTGCCTCCTTAGTAAAGTATTCAAGCATGTTCTTAACTCCTATTGAATTTTATGATCTTGAAGCATGTGTCTGAACTGACGCATTTTGAATAGGGAGGGGTATACAGCACAGACCTGGTAAGTGTCATTCTGCGTCTGTGCCCAAAGCATTTCATGAATCATAAATGTTTCTATTCCCTCTGGAATACTTTATTTTCTAAATAGGTTGCAAGATCACATAAAAGAGAAACTTGCTAGCAAGCCTCATATATATTACCTATTCATAATTAAACTTAAAGAGCAGAAAAATTTTTGCAGTGCAGATACTGCACATCCATTGATGGATAAGGAGTGTGAAGACTACTGCAATAACGTCCCAGCTTACTTCCTTGGCTCATTTTGAGGGCAGGAGCATGCTAGAATTACATTGTGTGTATGTATGTAGAATAAAAACTCTCTACTTTGAATGCTGTTCACCTAGTTGCTATAATCCTATCACGTTAAACAGTCAAGAGCTACTTTTACGGATACTAAATTTAAGAGCAAATCTTCTGGGGCAAAAACCCCCACGTTCTGCTTCTCTGCATGCTTTCCTGAACTGGCTTGTTTGCATTTTGTTAAACTTCTAACTTCAGCTTTTCTAAACTTAGTTGTCTCAGGTGCAATACTTCAGGACTTGTCCTTAAACCTACAGAATATGAAATCAGGATGAGCTTTTATCCTAACCAATGGTATTTTATGACCTCACCTACACTGCATTACTTAATGTCACTAGATAGCTTCTGTTGTTAAAAAACCTCTGAAATCTGATGAACAGGAGCTTTTAACAATTACTTTTACTAATTAATGCACAACAACCCTGTCTTAAATCCCTCCTTATTAAACAGAGGAAATAACGTGGTGCATGATTTTATCGATTGTTATAGTTGTTCAATAGGTATCTCTAGAGAATTGTTGTCACTGAAAAAAGACTTCTAAGGTGAAGTTGATGTGCTTTTTTTTTTAATCTAGTATTAGTGTAAGAAAGAATTGATTAGTGTTTAGAGTATTGAAGGGTAGAGAACTAATGTATGATTATTTTTTTTTCCCTAAAACATTTTGAGGCTTATAAAAATGCTGATTTCTGTTTGCACAGAACAGAGTTGGGGATCTTTTTTAGCGTATGGATTTCTATTTCTGACTTTTTAACAATTACCTTTGCAATACGGCTATCTGAAGTTCTTGTGGTGATGTCCAGTTTGTGAATTTGACTCCTCAGAGCTCGTCAGTTTAGCAGTGACAGGGCTCAGGACTCAGCCTGCCTTAGCCAAATCTTTCAAGTTTCAGTTTTCAAGGATGTCTTAGACTTTGTAGGAAGAGGTCTCGTTTTGGACAAACATATGTCTTTGAAAAGTGTGCTTCTCTGTTCCTGTGATTGGGACAGAAAATACAGAAGCATAAACATACGTTTGACTCATCATACAGTATAAAATGAAGTTAGGCAGAGGGCTTTGGGGAATTTGCTTATCTTCAATGGACTATTTGTCTTTCCCTATCTGTTTCTCTTTAAAGTGCCACCCAGCCGCTTCTTAAGAGTTCATCAAATTTAGTGGAGAAGTAACATCTTCTAGTAAATTAATTCATACATGTGGCAAAACAAACAGTATTTTGGGCTCAGCCTCCCCTGCTCACCTCTTATTTTCCTTATATCCTTAGACTGTGCCACTGTTATGACTACAGGAACAGATTTATTTTTTTTAAATCAGATACTTTCTGCCCGCATGAGCTACACTATCAAATCAAAAGATAAAACCAGGCTTCACAAAATAAATGAACTAGTGCACAGACTCAGAGATATTCTTCTTTTTCCAATAGCAGACATGTAAAACAGCCTTGCCAACCCAGGAGCAATACGTGGGGGTATGTATGTAGAGAAAATCTGAGCTCTTACAATTAATGAAAATTAGTAAAGCTGTAACTCAAAAACACTGGTGAAAATGCCATAATATAATGAAATAATTATTTATAATAACTAATTGTGGGCATTAGTCAAGTGAAAATAGTAAATCATATTATTAAATACTAAGAACACACTGAATAATTTAAAAAAAAAATTGCTCTCAACTATCTTCTTATAAGATATGTGCAGTCCTGAAAAAGTTCATAAAGAAATTAGAATATTTCTATAATTTCTTTCTTTAGCATTTAGGGAACAGAACTTGAAATTTATTGAATAACTGCTTTTAATACAAATGTGCTTAAGGTGGGTGTAGGTTTAATAGTAGATCTGAGTCTCTGAAGAAAAGTGTAATTATGGAGATTTAAGATATGTGTCAACTATAAGCATTGTGATATTCCATTGCATCTTTCAGTGCCTTGTCCCTTTTTTTTTTTTTTTACACTGGATGTGAACTTATTTCAGTGGTCAGCGTAGAGCAGAGGACAAATCCAAACCAAGTATTTAATGTGACTTAATGAAGCAAAACAATTAAGTATTTTTTATCAGAAAGACCAAGACCTTTACAGTGGACATCATGACGATTATAGACTCTGCCTTCCTGTGAATGTGATACAAATGCTGGACCCCACAAGTTACACCACATATCACAAAATAGGACAATATTAAAAGCATAATGAAAAATCAGCTACCTTTGTATGTAATATTGAACATTAACCATGTCGGTGTGTGTTTTGGGTAATAACAAGTAAATTAGCGGTCTAGTCTAGAAATTAATACAGAGCTTTGTTAATGATTAAATATTATTTGGGGATTTGAGAAGTTCAGAACTTCTCCCTGGGGGAGAGGGGGGAAAGAGAAACTCCATACTCACAACCACCCCTTGAGACAGAATCCACAGTCTAAGCTGAAAGGGACCCTTAAGATCACAGAGTCCAACCATCAACCTTATACTGCCAAAGCCATCACCAAACCCTGTCCCTCAGCACCATGTCTATCCATCTTTTAAACACCTCCAGGGATGGTGATTCAATTACTTTGCTGGGCAGCCTGTTCCAGTGTTTGACAACAAATAATTTATTTACTGCAACTTTCATGTCTAATAACTATAAACACTTTCCTTGGTAAAATGAAAATGTGCTTTCACAAATATCAGAGGAAATTAGCTGTGCATTTGTCTAAAATTGACTATTTTACTTGAAGATACAAAGTAGATCTTAACTGAGCATTTTGCCTTTCAGCACCAAGCTCCAGCCTTAGGACACCTGGACTCTAGCAGCTGGTTTCTTTTGTAACTGCCTCCAGCCACACCTTTTGAAAGCACGCTCTTTTTTCTGCCTGCTACAGAAAAACCACAGCACATTTCTGCAAGAAATCAAAGGTATAGCTTTTTCTCCTTAGGTTCAGAGTGTAATTCATAGAGGTTTAAGATGTCTCCTCTCCAGACAGAAGCAATGAATGTACAAAATTGTTTCATTTCCAAACACACACCTAAGGTTTACAATCCTACTCTCTCTTTCTCCTCTATTTCTCTACCACTCACATCATCCAAGAAACAAAGACGTGTGCCAGGCAGACATTATAACTATCTTTGCTAACATCTGTTACAGGCCAATTTCAATGCTATTGCTACTTCCCTTCTCATTCCGTATGTATGAGCTGGTATTAATATCTCCAAGGAAAGTAAATGCATGAATCAATGTGTCTGAATTAAATAGGGCTGAACGAATGAAGCATATGTATGAAAGCGGATGTGTTGTGTTTGTACATTCAGGTACTGTGCTGAGCATTGCAGGTGGTGTGGGATAGAGTGTGGAGGCCACATCCAGCTTGACAGAGAAAGGCAGACTGTCCAGAGGAAGAGTTGGGGAGACCCTTCGTGCGAGGTGTCGGAGCCTTCATTGAAAACAAGGTGGAGGGGCTGTGATGTTTGTCTGCTCTGCTGCCACACAGGTCTCAAGGAGAGGACTGGCAAACAGCTGCCCTATCAAGCCAGAGGCCCACACGAGCAAAGCAGAAGGAGGGAGGAGATGAAGGACAGAGCATCAGAGGGCATCAGGAGCAGGAAGTGAAAGCCCTGAAGACATGGTGGCCGTGAGGTCAGTGCCTAGGGTAAGGAACTGTTCCCAAAGTGAGATTGTCTTTGGAAAATGCACTGTGTCCATCCTGGGAAGAAAACTGGGTGGGAGGGGTAGGCACTTTCAGAAGCTGTTTCTGAAAACTGCTGCTGAATAGACATTGTGTATGTTGTAACTGCCTTTCCAGCTGGTCACCTTTGTCTTGCGAGCAGCCCTTGCAGAAGCTGCGTAAGGGAGTGATGGTTGTTCCAGAGCTGCTGAGAGTAGGTGGGCAGTTACTCACCTGCCAGCTGACGTGTGGTCAGTCTGCTCTGAGCAGCCTCCAGCCCTATGTCTGCTGGAGCACGTCTGCACCCACTGAGGGGATGCTGCTTTTACTCTCTAGCCCCCCTAGCCCAGTTCATCCCCCAGTCAATAAGGCAGCCTGCTGGTAGTCAGTGAGTAATAGCCACAGCCAGCCCAGCATCGACACTGCCCCCAGCCCTGGTGGCTCTCCCTCCTCCTCTCATCCATCTTCCCTGTAATGCAAGTCAGAGTTTCACAGTCAGCCACCTCCAGCTGTCCCATCCTACCAGTCCGTTAGGAGAATTTTAGCAAAAGAGGAGATAGAAACCAGCAGCTGGATTGTAAGAGAGAAAGTTGGTTTGGCTGGAAGGTGTGTGGGTGATAGATACCTTTTTGTACTGTCCAAATTTGCACCGTGCACTATAGAGTATAGTGGTGGCTGAAAACTCTGTCTATTCATTCTTCCATTCCATATGACCGTCCTGTCCTACTCTGAGTGCAAATGGTGTATGGTCCAGGAGCTGAGTCTACTTCAGGCTATATACTGTTCTGAAGACTGGCGTCACTGCTATTTTGCTTTATAGGATAGCAATAGGCATTTTTGCAAGAGAAAAATATGTACAGGAAGCTCTCCAAGGTCAATATAACAGTGTAAATAGCCAGATGCTATTTCCCTATGAATTACAAGGTTGAGCAGCCAAACATCTCTTAGTCATGTAAATTATGAAAATTCTGAGAACTGCAGTGCAGACAAGAAATCTAAGGCTGCTGAATCATTCTCTCTGGTTCAAAAATGACCACATCTTATCCTTTTGTTCTAGGTTTTATTTGCATTCTATGATTGTGTTTCTTCCTGTCAGATATATGGATGGAGTTAACATCTTTGCTTTAGGATATTGTTCTTTCATTATCAGAAGAGGCAATCAGCAGACTTGCAGAGATTCTTTTCAAGATGTGGGAAAAATAATACAAAACTAGGATTGAGCTATTTCTCTTAAGCTATCTGCAGTTAAAGTGATTATTAAACCCCAGGACAGGTTTAAGGGTAATCCAGACGAATATTGTTTTCATCAAAGCAATAGTGAAGTCATCTGCTTTCTCCCTGTTGCCTTAGGATCAACTTTAGAAAAGGCATACCATCGAGTGAAATTGGAATTATTTTGCTCCAGTTCCTTTAAAGTTCAATGTTTATCAGTTACTGCTTGTAGTTATCTGATGTAAGAAAGACTACTTGCTTTCTGAATAGTGCCACTGATAGGTGGGGGTTTTTTCCCCACTTTCATTTGGGAAGTTAGAAATGTACTGTCTTTATAGTAAAAAAACAGCACAAGATGAAAACACACTCATTTTTCTAGTACAATAAATAAATAAGAGCTGTGCACAAAACAAGTGGGATTGATTTGAAAGATGGATAACCAAAATACTGTGAATACAGAACAGATATGAGAATAGCAGCATGTGTTAATGCTACAGACTTCAGTCTTGTCTAAGAAATATGGATAAATGCTTGTCCTTTGTGGCTCCTTCTGGCCATGCCCAGGAGAGATAACAGAAAATCCAGGCACCTACAGTGACTCCTGAGAAAACAATCAACAGAAACAACTAAAAAGATAAGTAGAAACCTGAACGTGCATGGAGCATACTGATTAACAGCAGCTCACGGAGGCTGTACACGCAGGGTAAGGGCGTTCTGCACGGCACGTTCTCCTGCAGCGCCCTCGGTAACGCTTGAAGTCTCTAAAGGAAACAAAACGCTGCCATGAGCCTCTCAGAGATTTCCAGCCCAAGGACAATCTCAACGCACCGGATTAGATGTAACCTCTACGGCTCAGATTTATGCATTTGAGGATTAAAGCTAGTTGGTAGGAAAAACACCGAGAATGGGCGCCTGGGCACAATTTAAGCTTTGAGAATATGACAATTATTTTTAATTACATCAGAAGAACTTTCACTTCAGTAGCTCTGCTTCATCAAAGATAAAGTCACATAACAACAGGTAAAGTGGCAGAGGAAAATATAGGGCACAACATTTCACAAAATGATTTATACTTTCAGGATTGTCCATGCCAGGACAAAGTGAGTGGAAAATGCACCTAAATTAGAATAATTAGGGTTAATATACCCTTTGCACTGGCATGAATAATTATTTAATCCACAGATCAGAATTTGGATTCCTCTGATATTTTTATATTTAATAGAATGTAAGAGGGTAATAGCAGAAAGAAACAGCACTGCATCTGGAAGAGGTTTGTAGTCCATATAAACTTAATCGTTTAAGCTAATTCTACTCCATTCACTGTTTCTGCAGCTTGATCAGTCTATCTGCTTTCCTAGTGGAAACAGCATTCTTTTTTCCCCCCCTACTTTTTCTGTTAATAATCTTTCTCACTCTCACATGGCTTCTCTCAGTGATGCTGTCAGCAAGATGATGCCTAGTCCCAATTAGAAATTCAATCAATATTCACATAATGAGAGTTCTAGAAAAACCATGTCATTTAGTTCAAAGACATGGATATATTACTGTAGCTATTCAGGTTTCAAGTAATTTAGGGCACCTCAGTGAAAAAAGATAAAATAAAGCTGAAAGGCTTAGAGGTAGTTAATTGTTACTATGGCAACTTCCTAAATAAGCTTTAGATTCTAGTCATTATTCAGTTTATTTGGAGGCTGAACAGAATCATTAAAGGTGAAACTTAGTTAAAGCTCAGAACAGTTCTGGGATCTTTTAGTTTCCTGCTGGTTCTTATAGAGTTACTTAAAGTTTGTCCATTTCAGCTTTGAACTGTGTCCAAGAGCAAGATGCAGCCTGCATAGATTAAAAAATGGCAGCATGTTACATAGCAACGATCTAATTTTAATAACTTTGGCAATTGCATTTTTACATTTTTATATCCCAGTAGAACTCTTTTAAATGTATTGTGTGGGAAAGAAGTGGTCCTCAGTGAATAATGCTCTCATCTGCCCATAAAATGAAGTTATTAAGATCTGATTTTCAAAAACGGGCTCTGACTGTGAGTGTGCCTTTGTCATCTCCCAATGTGGGGTGCAGTCCCCTCAAACCTTTTGGGAGCTCAGCCCCTATCAAACACTGGCTCTCAACATTGCTGATGAAATTAATAAATGGCTCTGCAGAGTGCTATTAAGCTAATCCTGGAATTCTTCCTTCCATGAAACCCCCACGTGCAGAAGTGTAGGGATACATTTCAGCCTGGTCCCTAGCCAGTACTGTAACAAAGTTGATAATTAGGAACTGGGAGAAAGTTTGTCTTATCAAAATCTTGCCACACTGATCATGTCCATTTGTGATCTTAATGCAACAGGAGTGAATATATTCTGCCTCTGTGGAGGGGATTTAGAAAGCCTGACTTCTATAGGTAGCAATGGAGACAGCAAACAGAGGAAACAGGGTTGAGTAGCTCTCAGCCACTACACCTTAATTAGCTGAAGATCCTTAGCAGCCTAAAGTTTTTGTGTTTTCTCAGCAGCTGTAGCTCCCTTCCTTAACTCCTCTGTAGCACACGATAAATCAGTGGAGACGACGAAACAAAATCGTGTCTCAGTAGGAGACACACCATGGCTTCTCACAGAAGTGACTTTCTAGCTCAGACCAGCTTTCCCTCTTCTGTAGGCTGGAAATCTCTGAAGTCACTGACTCATAACTGCAAAGTTGTTAGAGAATGATGCTTTCAGTGTGAAGATACTTAGAAGAAACCCCCAGAGGTGAATGCATAAGTAACGGGTTCTTCTAAAAAAAAAAATTAAAAAAAAAAAAGAAGGCAGGACAAGTTAGCTAGCTGTGAGCTCACTGCTTTTAAGGGTGAATGGCAGCTGCTACATAGGCATCTTTAAAATGCCCTCAAGTAGCTTAACTGTGCAAGATGGGAAACTGTGATGTGTAGATGTCTCTCAAAAGGGGGTAAAACAGGACCGCAGGACAAGTTAGCTAGCTGTGAGCTCACTGCTTTTAAGGGTGAATGGCAGCTGCTACATAGGCATCTTTAAAATGCCCTCAAGTAGCTTAACTGTGCAAGATGGGAAACTGTGATGTGTAGATGTCTCTCAAAAGGGGGTAAAACTGTCCCAGAAAAGTTTTGTATGTGGCCAGGAGTCAATATGACATTGGGGAGTCACCCAGCCCAGGGCACACCTTGCTGTGTTTGGCAGCCTCGGAGTGGCTCTAGACCTCCTCCATAGTCAGGGCAGGGAAACGGGCACTGCCAGGGCATGGCTCATTCAGCCCCAGGTACTAAACTGTAAAAGAGAGCAGGGAAATAGCCTGTTTCTCTTCCCACATCTTGAATTATGAAACAAAATATGAGACAAAAATAAGTTGTCTTTTCATTCTTTTTCCAAATGAAATTGTTCTGTTTGTTTTTCTTCAAAAAACACCTTTGTTTTGAAATATAAGTTGGACATCAAAACTTCTTGACATAAAACAGTCATAATGGAAGTAAACTGTTTCAGACTGGCTCCAGAATGCTCCAGCAGATTTAATTCTGTTGATCTTTCTCCTTTTTTTTTTTTTTGTCCTCAGAGAACTCCTCCAGACTGTGCCTTTTTCTTTTTTCTTTTTTTTTTTTTTCAGATTTATCAAGCAAAAATGCTCTTCAAAATTTCATGTGATGAAAAAGGAATGTGCATCCAGCTGCAATAGAAACTGTTTTTCTCTCCTGTCTGAAAAATTTGCAGGAATTCTGCATGCCTATTGCTTGCACCAAACCTTTTCCATGGAAATC